TCTCTCTCTCTCTCTCTCTCTCTCTCTTCTCTTCTCTCTCTCTCTCTCTCTCTCTCTCTCTCTCTCTCTCTCTCTCTCTCTCTCTCTCTCTCTCATTCGTATACTAACACAGAAGAGTTTCACCGCGCGAAACCAAAGTATTCTTAGCACTTAACCTAACCATCTTACCCCTTCACTATTTATTTAAATCTCTTCTAAAGATGTAATTTCCTAAAAATAATGTTAATTTTTTAATCAGTTCATTTTTTAGTGCACCTTTTTTTCATATGCCCCATTTTTTAATGCTTCTCCTCTTTTAAGATATCTTTTTTTTTTTTCGTTGATCGAATTTAAACAAACGAACTATCTTCAAACTCTCTCTATTTTCATCCGTTTTTTTATTCAAAACAGACTTCATTCATTTTTATTCACGTTGTTTCGTATTTTCGTATTTTACATTCTTTGATTCCGTCTATTTCTCATCAATCTCGTTTTTCATTCAATTTTTTCCTTCAACATTCATTCATTCACACTAGCTTCTTGTCACTCACAATCATCTTCTTTTCACTTAATAGTCCTGCAATACACAGAGTTATTATACATGACCGAAAATATCTTAGACACAATTAATACAATTACAAATCGTGCCGCGTTTGTCTGTGTTTCTTCTTTCTCATTTTTCTCTCTTATTCCTCGTGAACTGCTTGATAATACTCATATACGCTTTACGTTCATGCTCGTAGTATCCTTCTGTTTCATGATCTCCTTATGCTCTTGTACCACTATTACTCCCCTACACTGTTCGTCTCGATCTTATTGTACGCGAGTATCATAAAACACTTATATCCACTTATCATACCTGGTATAACGTTACAGCATCTTCTAGAAGATTCCTTAGAGTTTCTCTTAGGTACTTACATTTCTATCTATGTATATCCACCTATCTATATTTATAAACTTTTTTTTTATTTATATATAATAACTCTTTTAAATCCCCCATCCCCAGTCACCCCACACGATCCTTCATTCTTCTTCTCATCTTCACCTTTCCTCTCTTCGTCGATCTATTTATCTGCCTATCTAAGATGTCTATCTAACAGTCTAGCTATCCATCTATCTATCTAAACTTCTAACTACCATTTATTAGTTTTTTTTTTTCTCCCTTACAATACCCACTTTTCCTGCCTCTCTATCTTATCGTTCATATTTTCTCTCTTCTCCCTTTGCAATTACACTCGTGCATCGTTCGTCTCCAACACGAGTCGACAGATATTTCCATGTATCTCTCGACTTTTTTCAACTCTTTCACTCAAATTTAATAAAACAACGCGGAAAAACTTTGCACCCCCTTTCTTTCTTCACGATCGTTCGCTTTTACGTATCTAGTATTTAATGTACGTGTATTATATCTACAGTGTTTCGTTGGTCGCCGGGATGGAAACGCGCGAAACGTTTATCGCGATTGCGAGGATCGATCATTTGCAACTCGATTGTTCCTATCCTTTCCCCACATTTCTCACTTTCCCCTCCTCTACTCTTCATGATCAATTCGTTTTCGATCGGTTCCTCGTCGATCGGTCCATTCGGATGTACACACGAAAATACGTACGAAAGCAGTCACGAAGAGAGAAAAGATCGCATAATAGTAGCTCCAAGATTTCTCGAGGAACGGGACAATCGAGCGAAACGAAACGCGGGCTCGTTTTTGGTCGCCGGGGATTCGCGCAACGACAGTTTTCAATTTTGTCGTTTAACGAGAGAAGAGCGTCGTATGAAATCGTATAACGAGCACCGTTTTTTTTTTCTTCTTTTTTTTTTTTTTTCGTATCCTCGTTCTTATCGTTTTCGCCTACCATTTACAAAGAAAAGAAAAAAGTTTGTCGAGAAAAAAGAGCGGTCGGGGGCGTCCTTTGTTTTTTGGGGCGCCGCACGATACCTCGCAGTATATGGCTATCAAAAAGACATCTGGCTTCTCGTTTATCTTCGTTATCCTAAGTCCTTGTAAATGCTGCATATATATATTTACTTTATTTATAATTATCCGTGAACATGGTAACAAATAATGAAACACTGACAAAAATTGCACAATATACAACTTAGTGTTCTGTTCTCGCTCTCTCGCTCTCTTCTCTCTCTCCTCTCTCTCTTCTCGCTTCTCTCTCTCTCTCTCTCTCTTCTCTCTCTTTCTCTCTCCCTTACACGCATACTTTTTCTCTTTTTCTTTTGCTTTCTTCCCGGTGCTAGATTCGTTATCTTATTCTCTTTCTCTATCTCTGTCTTTCTCTTTCTCTTCCTTTCCACCTATTTATGTACGTATATTCTTTTCAAAAACCTTGACCCATCCTAACTTCTTTTATTACGATCGATCCTTAAAAATCAATTTTGTGGAACGCATTTTTGTCTCGCGGGGAAAAGGAATACATAAGATCATCCATACACTTCGATCTGCACTTATGCAAAATTTACGCAAATAAAAGAGATAATGAAAAGAAACATTATATAGAGAAAAAGAAGAAAAAAATTACACAGGTGCCACAGACATTGAATTAACACGCACACATTCACACGCAGCTACACGCGCGCAAACCGCGTCGACGGTTTCATGTCAGTCAGGCTTACTTGGTAGGTACGGTTTATCTTTACGTTCTACGTGCGTTATCAGTTAATTTATTTGGCCACTGAACATTTAAAATTTAGTTTCTTTTTTTTTCTTTTCCTTCCTTCCTTTTTCCCCCCATCTTTATCCTTCAAATCTTCGTGTTTCGCCCGCAACTCGGCTGTTCTTGCAGGCCGTTCCCGCGCCCTCAGGTAAAGATTAGTCTTCTTAAACAGTAAAACTCCTTTCCTCCCATTTGTTCTGCTTCTCTTATCCTTTTGTAATTTAATCGTAATTAATATTACGTTATTATTCTATTTATCTTTTTTTAATTTTCTCTGTTTTTACTACTCTATTTATTTTTTGTTCACCATTTTCGTTCGACGAGCGATCTACGATCCTTCAATTCGTTTCAGTCCATGGATACATAACGTATTATATTATCCAGATTTAACCATTATCTCTCGTTTCTCTCTTTCCTCGTTGACACTTCATTTTCATTTAACGCATTCCTCTAATTTGCTCTTCTCCTTTTTTTTTCGTTTTTTCCCTTTATTTCTCTTATTTCTTTCTCATTTAATTTATCCCTTCATTGTTATTTCCCTACGTGATTTCGGTTCAGGCTTGTCCTCGGTTGGATAATCGATGATTAGCGAGACAACGATGCACGTCGACCGGAAGTTCGTTGCGTTCCCAAGAGGCACACCACACACTCACACACTCACAATGTATAATAATAGTCGTGAACGATTGGTGGTCGTCTGCCGTCCATGGTTTTGCGCGCGTATAAGAGGGAGTGGCGTGCCCGACGGGTCGACGCGTGGAAACGGTTCTAGAGCTTTGTGCGGAATGTTGCCCGTTTTATACTTTGTATAATCCCTTATGTATAATAATATATTGTTTTGGTAAGTAAGACGAGAATATTAAAAAATATATATATATTATTTATTTCTGTTGAGCCTCCGACATAGAATCTTGCCCGCCGCGTCGGGACAATCTCACCACTCCCGCCCCTGCGGCGCGCAGTCACGCGTGAAACAAAGATGAGAACGTTACCTAGAAAGCAATCGTACAAAAGTACAAAGTCAGATTCCCGTATATATCTTATTTATTTATTTTTTTTATTATTCTTATTCCCCTTATTTTCATTAGAAACCATATTACGCGCGTTACTACGAAAGAAGCCCCGTGTTCGGTCGAATTATTTTTTAAGGAAAAAAGGTAATTCTCGACTCCTTGTTCCTACCAAGGTTCCGTTTTTTTTTTTTTTTTTTTTTTTTTTTTTTACTATGTAATATAAGCGATCTTCTCTTTCTTCCTTAAAAATCATTCGTGAATTATTTATCGATCGGTAAAACGGTCGAATTCTCGGTATTGAAAAGGAATCCCCTTCTTGTTTATTCGCGGGAAATGATGGAAAACGATGTTACGATGGAAAAGGGCAAAAGGGCGGCGAATCGTGCGAGTCGAATGGAGGCGGCCTCGCGATATAATTCGCACTGTAAATTCGGGATTAGCGCCGCGGCACGGGTAAAGTTTGCCTCCGTCGAAACTGGCCGAAATCACGTATTCAATTACATCGGCTCGTCCTCGTCGTGTGCCCTCGTCCACCGCCCTTTACAATAGGCACACACGCGCGCGCACACACACACACGTCCTGTGTGACACCGTTCTACCGGCGCGCGAATACATTCGATTATTGCTCGTATAGGATTCGAGGCTCAAAAGCGTCGCGTACGTTTCTTACCCATTAGAATCAGCTTTTTCTCTCGTGGCCCCCATTTTCAGGGATACTAGGAAGGGAGAAGATTAATGCGTGTGATAAATGTTCGTAAGAAAGAATGGAAAGGAAAAATTAAAAGGAGAAGAAAGGAAATAACGTTTTGGCACCGATAGACAGCAATATTATTGTCCTCTCGAACCGGGTTTCCTCGACTTTCGAATCGACGCCTTTGAAACATCGCTAAATCGGTGTTTCTCGAATCAATAAGTGTAATTTTATATTTTTTTTTTCTTTGCTTCCTTCGATTTCTTTTTTTCCTTTTATTTTCGTTAATTTCGTTATTTTTTTTTTCTCCTCGCTTCGTCTTTTCTTTTCGAATCGGTTTCCGAAAATTCGACCGTTTCACAGGAGGCAGACGACTTTATAAGAATTCACGTGAGTTGTATACACCGTCATCGTTGGACGATTTTTCTCGTTCGATTTCTTTCCCAGCTTCGAGGCAGCGTTCGTCGAGTGTTCTCCGATATTATATGCACTGATCTTAGAATTTAATGAATTGGCAGTGATTAACATCTCGGACAAGATTCGTTGCCCTTCTTGTCCAAGAGATTTCTAATTACATCAATCGTACCATCAGTCTGATCCTCGTCTAATTACCATTTATTGTTTCCATTGCCAGCCATGTATCGTTACAGAATGTGTCATCTGATATTCTTTCAGTCTCGTTAACATTTTTTCAGGAATTGCCTCGAAGAGAGAAAGAAGGGAGAATACGTTTCCTTTATTTCAATTGCAATTTCCAATTGCAACCATCGATCTGTCTTAGACATTCGTCCTTCACAACGACGGATGAATATCGATTCGTTTCGTTTATTTATCGATCGACTTTCCTATTTCCAGAGAACGACCACTAACAAAAAATGGCCATTCCTCATCGATCATCTCGCCCATCATCGATTCCCCTCTTATTAATATTAAATCCATAAGGATATATAGATATATATATATATATATATACGTATATAAGTGTATATATCTCTATATCTCGCGATCATATTACTCCAACAAGATGGGGCCAATGGTGGTGGCTACGTCGTCGATGATCGAATTCGATGTGGATCGTCAGGTGTATATGGAAGAAACGCGATCACGAGGGGGTCGTGTGTTTGCATGACGACCTCGAGAATCTTCGAGAAGGAAGGAGGTTCGCCTGCCGGTCCTGGACTGTTCCGTTTGTTGAGGACCGTCCGCAGTGACGATCGATTACACGTGTCTCTTCATATGGAGGGCTAGGTGATCGCTGCGAGAGAAGCATCGGTCGCAGTGCCGACACTTGAACGGCTTCGCCCCAGTGTGCTTGCGGTAGTGGCGTGTTAACTCATCGGAACGCGCGAATCGCCACTCGCAACCCTCCAACTGCACTTGTACGGCTTCTCTCCTGGAATTAAACCAAATTCATACGTTAGTAATTTATCTGCGTTTGAAAGATTTCTATTTTTTTTTTTATTTTTAATATGTGGATATAATAGAGAGATATAAACGTTCTGCGATTTGGACGACGTGTAAAAAATGTTCGATTATTTTTTAAGAAGATTAATCATTAGAATTGTCATTTAATTGAGAATGAAATTGGATAAGTTGAATATATCTTATATGGACGAAAAAACTTTTCAATTTTATAATATTCAATTTTATTTTCAATGTTTATTTTCAATGATTGTTAAAATTTATAATTATCTATCTTACTTAATTTACATTTTTCTAAATGATTCAAAATCGATTAGATCATTTAAAACTAACAAGGCAAACAGAAATACTATTTTGAGATATAAAATTTAAATATTAATTATTTTTTTATTAAAGAAAGTTGTATAAAATTTTTAAATAAACAGAATATATAATTAAATAGCAAAACAAATTTTCAACATTACAACTATCTATAACACGTATTTAAAGTTAGAAATATAAATTCAAGTGATATGACAAAAATAAATATCTCTTCATTTAGTTAAGAAATTTTTATTAATTTAAAAATGAATAATTTTAATTCCATCAATTTCAATGTTAATAACTTTTCTAACAATGTTTGTTTACTCTCCACATATGTACTCTCTCAAAATTACTAAAATCACCAAATATAAAATAAAATTCCGCATGCAGTATGTATAGAACGGTCTCGAGTGGTGAATCGGGAATAAAATAGCACCAAAAGAGGCGTGGATCTTCTGGCAGCACGTGTGCCGCGACAAGGATGATTATGAAACGGCTGGCACATTATTAGCACGTAAATAATCTATTCGGTAATATAAAAAGAGAATGACGTCGATGAGACCGCGTTATGGGACAGGAAATGCAACCGCGCCACCTGTGGCGTTTAACAATCTATTAAAGATCATGCGTTATAAATAAGTTATTTTCAAACAAAACAATATATAAAAATTAATGAAAATTATTGAATAATGGTTGAAAGATTGGTTCCATGAAATATGAAATCCAATGCGAGTAATAAATTATTTTTAATGAAAAAAATTATTTTAAATAACGTATGAAAATTATGTTAAAATTTTATAAATATAAAATGATTTATTATATAAAATTATGAAAATTCTTATTTTAAGTATTTATTTAAAATATACAATATAGATATGTAAAGAAAATAAATTAATTAGACAGAAATTCAAAAAGATTCAAATATAAATTAAATTTTATTCGTCACTACTTTTATTATCACTACTTATATTTTGTTTACATGACAACGATGTACATAAAAAATTCGACAATGTCAAATAGTGTCCGCTGTCGATATTTTTCGGTGTGAAGCAAATATCAAGAAATTTTTTAGTATTTTCTATTAATCAGTTAAATAACTACAAATAATATACCTGCTAATCGTAATTTTTTTATTTCTCATGTAATATTTAACATATTTTCCATCATTTTAGGAAGTAATAATTTCAATGCGAATATTATTCTTTCATTATATATTATATTATTCTTTTTCATAATATTTTAAAACTGCCATTTGAAATATTGTTAAATCAAAATATATCATGTTATTTTTGTTGAAAATATAATTACTTTTGTTTTTAAATCATGTTATTTCACGAGAAATCGCGTAAAAAGAGACTTTTGTATATCGAGAAGAAAATAGAAAGAACATCTGATATGTAAATATTTTATCCTTCCATGAAAGAATATAGAACTCGTCTGTCTCGATTTCAGTGTACGATTTTCGATAAATAAAATATTGTCTATAAAATGGGGAAAGTGGAGCGGAAAGACTTTGAAAAAGTCCCAAAGACTTTAAAGCCTGCTATTAAAGCTTCGGGAAAAACTTCGGGACTTTTCTTGGTGGATTTAGCGCTACCACTTTGAAAGGCAACTAGGAAAGATTGAACCAACTAGGGCTTCGATGATTGTCGTTAAAGTTTCAAGAACGCTTCATCGGGAATTTTCGTAGAAGTAGCAAAATCAAAAACGAGTTTTTCACTTCGAATCATATTTCTCGCGTCGAGCCCCGCCATTTCTCGAATCGGGGGAGGCGAAGTGTATACTGTTCTTTCATAAAAACAAGGAATGAAGGGGAGCGTAATGGCGACCGCATGGATAAAGCGATATAAACGCGCGTATAAAACCGCAGAGTGAAACGTTTGACATCTACATCACTCGACTCTAAACTTAATGAATTAAAAAAAGGAGTGATGGAGGGGGAAGGGGAAGGAGGACGAGAGAGAGAGAACAAGAGGGTGGAGACCTTTAGCAAAACCGACGTTTGTATGATGTGACGTTTTTATTGTCGCGTGCTTGTTTGGCGCGGGCTGAGAACGCTTCGTATGTAATTTAGAACGCGGTAATGCTGGTGGTCGTGCTGTGAACGCGTGATCTTAAAAAAATTCACGCTACGAGGATTATTGTTTTTCTTGTCGTATCGCTGGCAATTGTCGAAATGAAATTCAATTTTTAATTATTTCCTTTTTTTATAATAATTGTCTTCTTGGAATAATTTTTTAAGAGAATATGTTTAATTGTAAGAAATAGAATAGAAAGAAATAGGATGCGTGACACAAATACTTTAATTATGTTTAATTATTGTTAAACTGAACAAAATTTTTTTTATCATATCTGGATGACACGATTTCAAAGATCTTTTTCAAAATGGTTTCTTATTTAATTTCCTTCTATTTTCATCTCTAACTCTATGTATACAGAATATACATATAATAATTTTTCTCTTTCATAATCAGTTATTAAACATTAAAATAAATTCAGTAATAATAAAAACAACTAATAATTGATTAAATAGTGTTGTATAATTTATATATAAGTATATCATAAATTATACTTTTATTTTATTCATTTATTTGTCTCATTAGTTGACAATTTGCATGAAATTTAGATGAAAATTTGCAGTACAGCATTTACAATTTTCTTTACGTTCAGTCTTTAATCTGTCATCTTCTTTTTTCATTATATAAAAAGGTGAATACATATGAAATAGATTGTAGTATTTCTCTAATCCTCTTTACGAATCCCTCACCCCAATACTAGAACTTCCTCCCCTTCGATGTTCCCCGCAAACCTTGCAGTCACTTTACAAACCTAAGAACCTACCTTACAACGTACCCTATTCCATTCAATTCCAAGAACACGCTTCGACCGAGCAGCTTTAAACGCACGCAATCTCCGTTTGTATCGAACTCACACATACCAAGAATATCCATGAAACCATTCGTTACGATTTTCTTAATATTTCATCCCTTCGCGAAGAATGAATTCTCTCTAACGAATTCGTGAAAAGAAACTTCTGTCGTGCATCAGAAGACATCTTAAAATTACGACTGACGTTTACTCAGACATAGATATTCTGTAGATAACAAGTTTGTAGAATGTTCTTTTTTTTTCCTATATCGAAAACAATATAGCAATCGGTTAGAAATAACGATTTTTATGATTTCAAATTTATTTTTTGATTAAGAATAATTTGTAATTTATAATTATTTAACTTGCATATTAATGAATTAATAATATATTGAAAGTATTAATAATATACATTAAAATTTCATTAAAAATTTCGATAAATTTTGTATACATATGTACATTATAGATAGAAATTCATGATGGACGATATAGTATTTTTTTTCCATGATTAGAAAATATCGAATAGAGAACAAAAGATTGAATAATTTACAGAGAATCTATTTGTCTAATAATATTTCCTTCTCGATGTAAAAGTAACATACAATTATATCTCAGAGTAAATGGAACAACAGAATAAAATTGTCGAAAAATGGCACTTTATATTTTGCATTAAAAATGTACAGAATATTAAAAAAATCAAATGATATTGAAAAATATTTCAAATAAAAACGAAATTTCAAGAGTTTAAAAAAAATCAATTTACATATTCTTTAAAACCATTCAATTTTCATCTGAAATATTTTTCAATGTCCATTTTCAAATATTGATTTAAACGAGACTTTCTGTATAACATTTCATATATTAATAAAACTTGACATAAGAATTATCACATCTACTTGTCATAAAAAGTTTTAAACAATATCATAATTTAAATTTATACAATTTTTGCAAAACAACCAAAAATTCCAATTATAATTCTATAAACCAATTATCGTTACAACTCTCTATTCGCAGTTAAACCCTGCAACTTTATTTCTTGTAATAACGATCCCCTATGTTTATCTATTCTCATTATCAGGACATTAGACTACTTCTCGATCAATAAACGTATCTTTTATATCACCTTTCCCTCGTTCATTGGAAATAATACAATCGCATCTATTCCTGCTGTGAAATCTCAGAGAAATCGCAGAATTGTCAAAAAAATCAACAAGACCATTACATTTGCAATTAAATGAGTAAAAAAAAAACTCATACACGCGTGCACGCAAAATAAATAGATAGAAAAAAGAAAAGAAAAAGCGAGACAGAAAAAATTCAACGATGTGTCGCGTGCATGCGAAGCTACCATCGAAAAGGCAAATTGAATTTCGAGTAACCATAGTGACTGCGTAACATGTCGAACGACCGCAACCCGTGTGTCACGGGTGAAAGGCCGTGCGTGTGTATAAACTCGACAGAAGCGTGTATGATCAATTTGAACGAGTGTGAGTGGATGACGAAAAGGTTTCATGCGCGTGTCGCAGAGAGGAGACGCGCGCCAGGTGGACGAGACCGGAACGATGTATGGGTGCATCATGCATTGCACATTTTATCACCACATAATAGTCTTCCAGTGGTTCGTTACCACCTACGTAATAAAGTCATATTAAACAGAGCGGTTTAAAGTGTTAACTCGGTCTATCCCTTGCCGTACAATTTCTATGAATCCGTTTGAGCTCATAACGAACGTTGCTAAACGACGTGATACGTCAATCCTCCGCATAAATCTCTGTCCAAGATAGAAACTGCTATCTTTGT